AGACAGCACATGGTCGATAGATCCCTGAGTTCCCTGCAGTCCTAAACAAACAAGTTAATCTGCTGTGAAGTCGACACACAGTTGAGATTTGATAAAGTGCATGTAGATGAGATTTGAGTCCCACAGGTTCATGGAGATCATCTAAAAGGAATAATTTTACATAAATGTAAAATTATTCCTATATAATAATAAAATCAACACCACTCTCATATTTGTATGAAGCTACAGTTAGCAGCCGGTTAGCTTAGCTTAGCATTTAACACGGGAAGTTGGAAATTTCAAAGGGAGCGACCCCTTAAGTCAGATTTCCGACTTGGAAAGTCGGGAAAACCACACTACCCCGACTTCATGATCCACGATGGCTGCTCTGAGTATCAACAGTTAGTGAAAGCTGTAGTTTATACTGTTGCACTTCTGTGTACTTGTGGCTCATTGTCGTACACAAAGTGCTGTCCAACTCCTGTCTGTGGACGTGTTGCTGTGTTGCTTTATCAACTGGCATAACAATATCTAACCTGGCTAGTTGTAAACAATGGCTGGTCAAAGCAAGGTTTTCCGACTTGTAATTGGAACGCCGTCAACTCGGGTGTGACGTCATTCCCAGCTCCGACCTGAAACACACCAAAAGACAGGAAACGGGGAAACAGCTAGCCTGGATTTCGCCTTTTGGACAGAGACAGGCTAGCGGTCTCACCAGCATGACTTTACCCTTAGTTACGCCAACTGGCTCCTAGCTCCAGTTTCATACTCCACAGACAAATATGAGAGTGATATCAATGTTATCATCTAACTCTCTGCAAGAAACCGACTTCCAATGATTCCTGTGTATTTCTCAAAATGTCAAACTATTCCTTTAAGGACTTTCATTTGTTTTAGGTGTGGCTTCAAAGGCTTCAAAGCCAGCAAGGAGCCAGACATTCCTGTCTTTGTTGTTTGTGGGAATCTTGATCTTGGCTTAATGAGCATTTGCTGGAATGTTTAATACAGAGTTATATGCCTCAGGCCGTTATTGTCTACCACCAATTGAAGCCACGCACTCCTTTAAACATATTAGAGGAATAAAACTTCCACTGGTGAGTGTGTGCACACACCTAGGGAGGTCAGTCATTCTCCCAATCAACCCAGGCATGAACTGATGAATCAAATAGTTGGACAGAGGCGCTTAGACCCCATGCTGAAAGGAAGAGAGACAAATCAAGGAGGCAGAGATACACAGTAGATAGGGAGCACAGCAAAGAGCGGGGGTGGCTTTAAAAAATGCATGCTTCTGCATTTGGCAGAGGGGAAATTTTTTCCCAGACAAGAGGAGACCGTAGTTGCGAGCCTAGCTGGAGCATTAACACTCAGATTGTCTAAAAGAAACACTTCCTTATCCCTGGAAGAAAAAAGAAGAGGAAGAAGAGAGTGAGGGGAAGGGGAAAAGGAAGCCGTGGAGATGCCCAGAGGCTGTCCTCTCGCTGCCCCGTGATGCGATTTGATTGCTGTTACTTACTAGGCATCCTTGTGCACAAACACACCCATATGCACAAACACATACACAGACATGTTTACATTTTACAGTTGAGCGTTTGCTGAAGGCCATTAGGTTAAGTGCTCTCCAATGCGAAATAAAGTAGGACCAGATAGTTTGCATAACCCACACTGACATGCGTCAGTAATTTGTCGACCCATCCTGTTTGGAAACACTCACACTGTCATAGCGGACATGTGGTTTTATTTGTGCCACAAACCATCAGTCAGCGGATTCAATGACCCAGAATATTTCACAAATTTCCAACAGTGCTTTCTGATGTTTGACATGCATGTGCGGTGGACTCCGTCTCTAATTTGTCAGGCCACTGAGGGAGCAATACAGACATTTGGTCTCCTCTGGGAATCCTGAAAAACATAGAGCCCTTCCATCATCCCAAGGCGTAATCCTCAAGCAACAAGGTACATTACAGCCGCTCTTGGATTTAAGTCAAAGGCTTTCAATGTGAATAAGAAGTGAGTGAGCTGATTGGGTGAAACATCTAGTGCAATTGAAATCCTATTTTTGATGAGATTGGGAGTCAGAAAGAAAAAGCAACTATCTTCTTAGCACCTTTTTCATCTTTTGGAAGTAATGCTAAAAGAATTTTATCTCCCAGTTGTTTAACACAGGATATGTTGAGTTAAGTTAATGTACAGTGACCTGTAACTTTTTTAAATGTTTAATTGGGAATCCTACACCCTTTAAGAAATCACCCCTCTGGCTGACACAGTAAAATCACACAGTAGTAAAAATCTGTAGGCCATTTGATGATAATGTTTCAAATTAACATTTTCTGATCTGAATCCACTATCACCAGTCAAGAAACAAACTTGGTTAAGGAATGATCATGGTCATGGTTAAATGAAACCAACACTCACTGTCAAGCTATCGCCTCTGCTTTAATGTGTATGCAAGAAATCCTTGTCAGGTATGTAATGCAACATAGGTCCTTTTAAATATTTGAACATACGACGGATGCTGCTGCTCCTGACAACAGGAGCAAACAGCTTTAGCTTTGGCAAAAATTATTATTATTATTATTATTTATTATAGAATAAATATTTTCTTGGATCTTCAGAATAATAAAACACAGACACAATGGCAAACAACACGTACCAAGAAGGATGGGTTTCTGCTTGGAGCTTGAAGAAGTACAGAAGCAGAAGGTCTCACGCTCTCTCTCTCTCTCTCTCTCTCTCTCTCTCTCTCTCTCTCTCTCTCTCTCTCTCTCTCTCTCTCTGTATGTTTTATGCCTGTGTATTTCTGTGCATTTATGTACTGTATGTTCTGTGTGTGGATTGGCTTGCACTGGTTGTCATGGTTATCTGGCTATACTGGGGCTACATCTACGCTGGTCACCAGGCCCAGGCTGGCGTTAATGTCCGAGCATCCCTCACAAAGGTTTTTCCAAGGCGTGTGCTACACCAATACCCCACCATCCATTTCTTTTTTTCTACAATCACTCCTTTCTCCTCTAATTTCACCCCTTTCTGTCTGACTGTTTCCCTCTCACATTTACAATCCACTCTCTTCCTTTTGCTTAGCTTTGCTTTTCTCACCATCCCCCATCTCTCTCCTGGTCTCTTATTTTCTCTCCCTCTCATTTCCCTCCTCTCCCTCTCTCTTCTCCTCTCTGTATCTCTTTATTTCTCATTTTTCTATCTCCAATCTCACTCTTTCTTCTTCTTCCTTCTCACACAACTCTAATAAGCTCACCTTGCTATTAGTATGGTAATTGACGCAGCTTTATATCTGTGTCCAATTCCCGTTCACAGTGTGCTGGACCAACTTCAACAGCGGGGAAAAATATGACGTGAAGTGAAGTGATTAATCTGCACAGAAATAGATACAGCAGTCTTTTTATGTGTATTCAAATCAATACAATCTCTCACTGCTTTATTAAGTGAGTATTCATTGCATAATTTCTAATTTGTGAAACATGAATATTTATTATATAGAGCCTGGATTAGAGGAAACACATCACACCTTAAAACTCTTAAATTTCTGCAAAAGCACGCATGGTTTGTGTGTGTGTTGGTCTGCCTCCCTTGCGTTTCCTTCTGTCAGCGAAGAAAAGGGCGTGAGGAACAGCCGGAAATGTGTGAGACAGTGGGTTTTTTCATTAATGTTGCAGTCTACACAGACACATCAAACGCTGACATTTCCTGATGTCTGCTGATATAGACATTTCACAGAAGGTCACTGGGGTGAGATGGCAGTAGATCGAACCTGTTTAATTGTTTGTTAGGCTTAAAACACTTTACAAATAATCATAATCTGGCCATAAAGTGAAATTAATACCTGGGTTAAAAACAGCAGGTATACCATGTAGCACCTTAGAGTTTAAAATTGGATAACTAAATGAAGTTGGTGCAGATATGTATATGGATACCCTGACTTCAATTCCCTCTCTTCCACCTGGTGATGCCACCCAACTGTGGGACTCCAATGGATGCCCTTGGACCCCTGTGGAGCCACCAGGGAGCTCGGCCAGGCCGTGATAGTGACACGCTGTAGGCCCCATAAAGCTGCTACACAACCTGGAACACCGGCCAAGCTAAAAGCTGCTTAGTGGGGCAAAACTCTGGCTCAGTCCCTTAAAGCTGCACTAATCAGAGCTGTTAGAGGGGGGAATCAATCATATCACACAAGATTACAGTGACATCTCAAAGCATAAATGTATGTATGGATGAATGTATAGATGGATACAGGGACAGATGGCTAAAAATAAGCAAAAATAATTTTGAATGTGTGCTTCACTGGACTGAAAAGACGATTTATTTTCTTATGTAGATGTCACACAGCATCAGGTCTGACTTATTGCACGCCCGAATGCAACAGCTCCATCCGGCACAATTACATCTCAACAAAGACAAAGAGCAGGAAAGCTGTTGCATATCTGAGCATGCGTCTTGGAGCGCTCTGCAACCATGACGACAGGCGTCGGCTATGGATGCAACAAGCCACCTTGACAGCCTTGATTGGAGAGGAAGAGCAGCAGAAAAAGAAACGGCGAGGCGTAAACTGAGAGAACAAAAGAGCCACAGAGGCAGACAACAAGACAAGCATACACTGGTCACAGGGCTCTGGATGGCAAATATAACACAACTGCTGCACTGTCACCCCCTCTGTCCAAACTTGGCAAGCTCCTCCATAGGCCATCAATGCTCTCTGCTTCTTCCAGGAGCACTTTTATGCACAGCTAGCTTATACATTAGCATGCAGCCCCATCCCCCTGCAGGAGCAACCAGACACTCACAGCAGCTATCACAGCACAGAAACGCTTCACATGCAGCAGCAGCAGTAGGGGATCTGTTAGAAAAGAGAATCATAATGCTCTAACTACATTTTGGGTTGATCTAAAAGGCACCTGAGAATGGCAAAAGCAAATGGAGACATCAGACCTGGGTGTCTTCACCATTCAGGTGTCAGTGATGGATCTCTCATCTACTGGTGGATAGCACCTTTTCCAACCTTAAATGCCTACCTGACTTTGAACTCAGTGAGCTGTGGCTGTGCCCCCGGCTCAGCACAGTAGATCTGCGGGAAGTAAAAGCGGTGCGACTGAAGGTTGATGTCCATGGTGTCCACACGCAGCAGACCCACAGGTCAGCCCTATTTCACGGCAACAAAACGGAGAAAACGTCTGTATTTGTTGTTTGAGTTGCTTTCTCCTTTGTCCGTCCTGATTTTCGCCACTGACACTTTCGCTAAAGGTCGGAGTTCAACGGCAGCATCCCAAGTCTTCTTCTCTCGAATGTTAGCAGGGCTACAGAGCGCTACCGCCAAGAAGTCATCCCTTTCTCCTTCATCTCCACCATGCACAGAACATTCAGTCACCTCTGCGGCCCGACACCTTACAGGCACACTAACCTATTTCCCCACTAGCAGCCACTGTACACTCAGCAGCTGTAAGCACAAGAACAAAGATGACTCCAGTGAAAGATGCTGCCTCCTAAAGACACAGGAGAAACAAAAATAGTCCTGGTTTGTGGTTATCAGTTTATCCTTTTGGTGGTAGAGAAGCAAATTTAGGGGGAAAATGAAGGAGAATTTTGAACTGTGGGGGAAAGAGAGGCTAAAATATGAGAGCAGCCCTCAGCCACATACAGAGGAGACTGAATGGGAGATGAGAGTCCTTTGGTTTTTACGCTTCAGAGACAGGGGAGGGGAGAAAGAGAGAGATGGAGATAGAGAGAGATTCCCGGTGCTGTGAGGCGTTGCCCTCGCACTGCCTCTCCTCTCTGTGTCTCATTGGATTACCTCCTCCCTCTCCACCCCACGTCCTCCCTCATCCCTCCCATCCTCCCCTCCCAGCTGTGACAAGAGCGATGGGCCGCCAGCCCCGGAGGCTGCTGGTCCAGCCCCTCCTTCTCCTCCTTTCCACTCTCTCTTCTTCCTCCTCTCACCCCCTCTCCCACCTCCCCCCAATTCCACTCTCCTCTCCCGTCTTCCGGATTGGCCGAGGCGGGGATGCGTAAGCCCACACGGAGAGAGGGAAGAGAGGCGAGGAGGAGGAGCGACAGATTTTAATTCATCTGATGGTTCCCATCTTTTCTCGCATATGATTTGAGGTGGCATGCTTGGGTGGAGCTCTGGATGCAACACAATCATACACACTCACACACACACAGCACAGGCATATTCACACACTGGTGCGACAGCATTCACTGGATGTTCATTAACAGAAACAGAAAAAGCAAAACATCCCTCTGTTGGAACTTGGTAACATGTTTGGCTGTTAATGTATAACCCACATTTAGAACCATGTTATATATCTGAAGATGCATTTACATATGCAAAAGCTGCAAAACTGAATTAAATTAAAATCAGTGGAAGGGTCAGTGTCGACAGCAATAAAACAAACAATAAGCAAACATATTTGAGCGTGTAATGCCAACATTTGCCCCGTTAATATTTCCTCTCTCTGTCTATCTACATGCATGTAGATTATAAGTTATGTACATTAAGTGGTGTGTGGCCTTTACACTAATCTCCTGGGTAGGTTCCACATCACAACGGCCTGCCAGGAACCAAAAAATCCCTTCCATTTTACTGTACATCCTCTGACATCCCAGGAAAATAGTACAACTCACTGCGCTCACATCACCCACATCTGTTCTGCTGTGTTTTGCCAGCAGGCAATTTCATAGATTAAACAGACTATAGAACTGTTGGATGACATGGTTTGCTCTGTAATCATTGTGGACAGCAGTGGACATTGCAATTTGACAGCAATTTTGTACTGTTAAACTGCCTGCCGACAATTGAGTTTGGCCACAATGAAATGTCATCCTTGTCCTTTTTATATCCGTGTGATATTAGTTCACATATTTGCCTGGGAAAAACTGATTAACTTCAAGTTGGATGCAAATGTCTGCTTGCAATGAGTTGCATCATGGAGCCTTCGCACAGAAATGAGGAATGATTACAGCTCCATAGAAATTTAAGCACAGATTGAAAGGGGTGTACCAGCAACACATATTTAAAAAAAGAATGGTCAAAATCAAAGATATACTGACTTTTAGTCCCTAGTAGTGGAGTTCACCTTTGAATATATAAACAGAACAAAACATTTTTATAAAAAATCTGTTTTCAGGATTTTTGTAGGATTAAGAGCCAGCTGAAATTCTCTACAGTCTCTATGCTCAATAGCAACTTGCAGCCACGTCACTGCATATATCTCTTAAAAACAGCTGTCAAATGCCTGCAAAATCTATTGCAAAAAAAGATCTCTATCTAATGCTGGGATAAGACTCCACAATGCTTTTGTCTTTTGAGATGCTCACTGTGTCAGATTAGGTGATCATAGGGTCATAAAGTCTTGCTGTGACTTTAGCGCTGTGGGAATGCAACTACACGTTGGACCTTGCCATGGATTTGCATAACGTACATAGGTGATTTTTCCTTCATGGGTGGTAGAAAGAGGGTGAGTGTGCTAATGTGCAGCCTACATTCAGTTCGGTATTGTGTTCTGAGGGTCAACAAATGAATGGTAAATGGTCTGTATTTGTATAGTGCCTTTCTAGTCTTCCAACCTGTCAAAGCGCTTTTACACTACATCACATTCAATCATTCACACAAATTCCTACACTGAGCCTAAGTGCTCATACGGAAACTGACATTCACACACATTCACGCACCCCGATGGAACAGCCATTGGGGCCCATTCTGGTTTCAGTATCTTGCCCAGTGACACTTCGACATGCAGTCTGGAGAAGCCGGGGATTGAACACCTGTTCAGTTGATTAACAGGCAACCCGCTCTACCTCCTGAGCCACAGCTGACCCAATCACCTGAGATTGATAAAACAAGTGTTATTAATTTGGTATAATGCTTTTGACATGATAAAATAAAAACTGTTACTGAAATTTCGCTTGACCAGATTTATACATGTGCATCAAAGGGCACTCTTCAGTGGGTCAATGCCACAGAATATGTTGTAGAAGTTGTCATTGGTGAGAGAGGGCAAAAGATTCTGACATAAAAGTTTTTTTATTGGGACATCATGAGGCATCCCAAATGCTGCGTCAGTTGTCTTCTATTATAACACGAGCAACTGTTGCACCCGATGCACCCAGACATCTGTCAGGTTCAGACCATTATTGGACTGTTATTGTGTAGTCTGATCCGGGCATTAAGCCTTTAAATCTCCTCTTGAGACTTAAAAGTTTACGTTCTTACAAAAAAGTCTGCCAAAAAACATCTGCCAAAGCAGGGAGATGATTTAATCTATTTTTGATGCAAATCACCTTTTTTCAAAACCTCTAAAGTCTGAGGCATGTGGATCTGTTTGTTCAAACAAGTACACCTATCTGTCTTTGTCTGTGCATCTTGATCCTTGAAAGAAGGAGCGTTTTTTTTCTCCCACAGGCGGCATTGTTTCTTGTTTTCTGAAAGTGTTGTCCCAAAAGTTGAATATGAGAATGAATCATTTTTTCAGAGGGATGTTTTCTTGCCAGGTGTGAGTATATTGTGGGGCTTCAACTTGATTAATAAGCTAAATTAACATCTACAGTAGCCAGTGTCCACACAGATTGTACACAGGACAGTTAAATCAATAAAAGACATTCTTTACTTCAGCGCCACGGGCAGCATCATTTTCTCTTAAACTCTTGATCTATGAACAGACTGAGCACACTGGGCCACATTTATACTAAAGCAAATGCTTTCTGTCTGTGAAAAGGCAGCGAAAGACTGCTCGCTGACTGAATAGTAACGTCTGTTCAAAAAGAGACAAACCTGTTTACATATTCCAGTTGGGTCTCTGTAAACAATATATAGTATATAGTATGTATATAGTATGTATGTAGAGTATGGTCTTGACCTGCTCTATATGAAAAGTGCAATGACTTAGCTAGCTTCTGTTATGAAGTGGCGCTATATAAATACAATTGAAATGAATTGATTCAGGGCTCACAGATGGGGAAGAGAGTAGGGATGATTTTACAATAAACAGATCAGGAAAGGGGGTTGGAGTAGTATTTTGGGTTTTTAAAAAAAAGGTGGAGCGAGGACAGGCAATAGAGGAGTAGACAGATGGACAGGTAGAGATACGTGTCTGGGTGGGAGAGAAAAGGATGGAGAGAGAAAAGAAGAGAGGCAGAACAGGAAAGGACATCCAGCCTCCATTTACAGTATGCACCCATCCCCCATCCCTCTCTCGCTCTCTCTCGGGTTAGACCCCGGTAGCAGATTGTATTATAATCCTCAAAGCTACACACCTCAGTTTCTACTGTGTGTGTGTCTGTTTGTGTAACTATATGTGTATGTATGTGTGTGTGTGTGTGTGTGTGTGTGAGGCAGGGAGGAGAGAACAGAATAGGAGGATGTGATGGAGCCTTGGGGTTGAAAATGGGTGAAAATCACACAGAGCAAAGGGTCCGTGAAAAATTTAGCACCTGACAAGAAACTGTAGGGAGGAGTGACATCAAATTTGGGAAGAGACACACAGACAAGTTAATGATGTCACTCCTGTGTTAAATGTGTAGTACTATATGTAGTTTGTGTGTAGAATTCATGTTGAAGGTGCTCCTTGTACTGTGATAACAAATTTCCTCCACTGAGGACAATAAAGAATGAATCTGAACTGAATCTGAATCTGAAGAGTGTATACATGTCTAACTACGGGTGCTAAATCTGAGAGGGTTTCGAGTTTCCGCTCTATTAAGTGGTCAGACTCAAACACATGACATGCTGGAAGCCGCTAGGTAGTCAGAATCAAAGCATGTTTAATAAGCATAATAAATTTCCAGTGTAACTGTCAAACAAGCAACCTGTTGTGCTGCTGTCTTTACAGCTCCTTTGCTAGAATAGAATATTGTAGTATCTTTTCCAGTAGTGTGACTTCCTTTATCCAGTTTTTGGTAATGCCAACATTATGGACTGTTAACAAGAACGTGTCTACATGTAGACGATGCACATGTGTCTTGGCTGCATCCCATCATGTCACATTTCTGTGACAGAGAGCATAAAACTCAGTGACAGCATATGCCACAAAACTTCTTACTGACATAGCTGCATGCCTCTTTACTATGATTCACACACTAACACACACCACATGAAGCTGCCACTGAGTAGACAAGTCACACACTTGCATGAATGATGTTGGAAAAATTCAGGCAGTCTGTGTACACATCCTCCTACAAATCAGTACACACACACATTGATTTAGAGACAACGAACACCTAGTGCAAATGAACACTTCACCTTTGATTGTTCAGTTGTCAAATAGGGGACA